AAATCAGCAGCTGCCAGGGACCAAAACCAGAGGCAAAGGCAGAAGACTGAGTTTAAGTTCCATTATTGCCTTCTGTTCAGCCATGGTATCAGTCCCTCTCAGTCACTAAGTGATTGTGACACTTCCCACAGTTGTTGGTGGCATTAAATCAGACGGTGCATAAGAGTATTTTGTATAAACTGTAAAGCAGGATGTGACTGTAGGAGTTTATAGTTCTCATGAGTATCACTGCTCTTCCTTTCCACAGTTGAGAGACTACCATCCCCAGGCCAACCCTAGTGTTGGTACAGGAGCAAGCGACACCAAAAAGAAGAACATCAATAATGGTGCTAACCCTGAGACAACCACTTCTGGTGGTTGCCACTCACCTGAGGATGTGAGTCTTGGCTGGCCAGGCTCCTGGGGACACAGGGCCCAAGGGGTGGTGGAGGGTAATTGTTAAGATTGTGGAAGAACTCCCAGGCACTGCTTAAGAATTCTGGGTTTGAATCCTCGCCTATCTGCTGGGCATATGATATAGGGCAAATTCCTTGAGCTCTTTGGGCCTCTCTTTTCACATCTGTAAAATAGGAGTGGTGTGGTTTTACCTACATTAGTGAAGTTTAAATGAGATTTATCATTGTTGTTTTTATGTTAATCCCTAGTCCACGGCCTGCTGTAAACTCTCCTTCTCGGGCTTGCGTTTCCTGAGGTAGAGTTAGAGAGTATCAGAGTTGTCTGTTAGCTCTGAGAGTCTGAGAGTTAAAGGCCCACTAGAATGGAAACCTCGGGACCGAGGGTTCCTATCTGCCTTTTCCGTCCTATATCCGCGCTGTGAAGAACCGTCCCTGGCCCGTATGTGCTCACTCAATGTTTGTTGAATGAATGTACCTTTCTAAATCACAAGCTGGCAGAAGGGTGGGCTCTTCTCACACTCCATCTCCGAAGGTTTCTGTGACTGTCTTTTTGAGAGAATCTAGTTTCAGACTTTGAGTTCTGTGGCTGTGGCCAAAAACCAACAAAGACCCAAGTCCTTTTACTTTGGGAGTTGAGGAGAGTTTACCAGTTCGTGTTCCCATTGGGCCTGAGAACTACCTTTAAAATCCATCCCTGGCCCTTGCCTACCGCTTCCTGGCCTGGGGAATAGAGTTGAAGGGGCCACCCTCAGTCACCTTCCTTTGACTCTCCCCACAGAAACAACAGAACCGAGCCCAGCTGGAAGAAGTAACGTGATTTCTTTGTTTGCTCACATGACTGCTGGGTTTGGAGGGAACTCAGCGGTAGAGGCCCCAGTCTCATCTTGCCCACTCCCAGCCTGGGGAAGAAGACACACCCCCCGGATCCCACCCCATCCACACAGGGTCCCTGATAACCTGGTCCCATGGGTGGGCCTGTCCTGGGGCAGTGGTGCCATTCTGGGGGCATCTCTTGCTGTGCCATCTCTGCCTCCCCCTAGTAACAGCTCTGTCTTCCTCTTTCTATAGGAAAAGAAGGCAAGCCACCAACATCAGGAAGCCCTAAGGAGGGAGCTAGAGGTGAGTGGAAGGTGTGAAGTTCCCTCCTGTCCTCTGGAAAAGGTTTCTTTGCTTCTCTTTCAGCACTTGCTTGTCTTTTCTCCCAAAGGCCCAGGTTCATACCATACGAATCCTCACATGGGAGAAAATGGAGCTTCAGACGGCACTCTATTACAGCCAGCGTGCTGTCCAGCAGTTGGAAGGTGGGAATCTGGCACCCCGTCATCCTTCAACCTGGCACTTTGACAGGCCTTTAGGGGGAATCCTTTGGGCCGCATCTGAATGTCTGTCATTCCAGGAGAGTCCAGGCATCTAGTCAGCCGCCTGCATGATTCATGGAATTTTGCAAGAGATTTAGAGCGGGATCTCTCTGCTGTTGCTACACAGAAGAAGGAGGCTGACAGGGTGAGTCCAACCACCTGCCCCGTCCCCTGGGAACCCGGCTTCACAGATGGAGGAGTGAGCCTAAAAGTCCCTTCTGCAGGATGGAGTGTCCTGCCCAGAA